TTAACAAAAGTTTGTGCTCTAACCAAACAAAAAGTGCTGCATTCTTAATCTCCCTTGCTCCTGAGGGCTGTGTAGAAAATTTTCCATTTTCCATCTGAAACCATATTGACTGTTACATCTCTTTTTTGTCATCCTCCTTTTAGCTGTCATTACTTCCATTAAAAACGGGTAGGCAGCTTAATTGTCCTCCATCTTACTTCATCTTCCCATGATGAAAAGGAAGGAGAAAAAACTTGTTTCAAATAAAATCTTTTGAGCCTCAGTTGCTGTCGTGATGCCTTAAACTGAACTAGAGCATTAAGATTTTCTCGCTAATGAACTGTACCAAGAGGAGCTCCTTTTTCTGTGACTGTTTTTTTTCAAGATTCTGTCTTTCATGTTACTCATAAAATGGTATAAATTAGATTTAAGATGTTATTATCTAGTTTCAAAGACAGTACACCGTACTTCATTGCCACCACTCATCTCAGCAATTATCCACTTCACTCACAATAACTTGACCTCACTCTATGCTTTCACCATTGTTCTGGTCTTCCTATTGAAAATTGAAATTCAGTGCAAGTTTGTAGAGACATTTTCTGGAGAGAAAAAATATTCACATTTGAAGGTAAAATAAAATATCCCAAGGTGCTTTTTGGTTGGTGTTTCCTTTTTTTTTATTTTTTACATGTTCCAAATTGTTTCTTAAGTTTTCAATTCCTTTATAAATCAGAATCTGTAGTTCCACTCAAAAGCATACTTATTCTCTGCACAGATTATAATGTATATTTTATGTGAAAAAAACCCAACCCTGCAATTCTTTTCACTGTAGATGCAATGTAGATACCACTGCTATTGTCAATTTGCATTTGTTAACTGAAATTTCAGTAATAAATTTCAAAATGAAAAATAAGTATGATGCTCATATGAAATGCTTTTGTGAAAATTGAAAGGGGAGAACAGATTTTAAGACATCAATAGATTAATTGAAAGGGTGTGTGTTTTTCATGTAATGAAGAGAAAACAATACAAAACAGGTTCTCTTTAAAGAAACACAGCAACATAGAATCATAGATCATCAGCTCCAACCATTAAATTAACAGTGTCAAGCCCACCATTAAGTCATGTCCCAAAGTGCCACATCTGCAGGTCTTTAAAAAGGGAAGTGGGTGACTCAACCACTTCCCTGGGCAGCCTGTCCCAACACTTGACAACCGTTTTAATAATTTTTTCCCAATATCCGATATAAACCTCCCCTGGTGCAACTTGAGACCCTTTCCTTTGATCATACTGCTTGTTCCCTGGGAGAAGAGACTGACACCAACCTCTTTTCAGATAGCTGTAGAGAGTGATAAGGTTTCCCCCTAAGCCTCTTTTTCTCCATGCTAAACAGGGATCAAGTCTGCTGATGAAAGGAAGTGGGGGTGAGTTGCTGATACACCTGTGCTGCCGTTCAGTGGGACCTTGATAGGCTGGATAACTGGTCAGAGAGAAACCTAATGAGGTTCAACAAGGGCAAGTGTAGGGTTCTGGGCCTGGCGAGGGAGAGCCCCAAGTACCATGTGAGGGTAGTAGAATACTGGAAGAGGCTGTTCAGAAGGATCGTGGAGTCTCCCTAGGGGCTTTCAAAACCCACCTGGGCACATTCCTGTGTAACCTGCTCTAGGTACTCCTGCCTTGGCATGGGGGTTGGACTAGATGATCTCCAGAGGTCCCTTCCAACCCTAACAAATCTGTAATTCTGTGATTCTTAAAGTTTGTAGACATCTTGGGTGCAATGAATTGAAATTTTAAAGACAGATAAGTAAATCTGTGTTTGACATAAGAGCTTGGTTTGGTAGTTGTCTTGTGCTTAATTATCTGACTAAAATTCCACTTTGGATAGTTTTATGCTTTCTCTCTTCTTAAATGTGCCAAAAATGACTTGGTATTAATCAGTGTCATCACTTTGAGGCTTAGAATTTGAGCTGTGTCTTTTGGCAGATGTTTTGTAAGAACATAGGGATTTCTCATGTTCCAGATATTTCATGGGTACTTGTAAAGCATTGTGTCTGCACATTTATGTGAAAAAAGGGGGTTGTGATTGTAGTCCAGTAGATCATATTTGAACAACTATAAATCTACACAATTTGAGGCAGAAAAGTAATTAATAAATTAATTAATTTGATGCTAAACAGAGGTATGTGGTCTGTTAATGTCTAGTTATTGTACAGAAATTCAGTGAATAGAGTTTAATGACCTCATTAGGAATATGTGAGCATCTAACATTGTCTTTTGCACTGAATTAACGTCTTGTACTCCATCACCAGTGGGCAGACTATGCCAAAAATATCCTGAACTTCCCCTGAATTGTAGCTACATGCCATTTCTCATGTTCTTCTCAGAGAGATAAGATCAGCACCTCCCCCTTGAAGAAGCTGCAGGCTGAAATGAGGTCACTCCTCAGCTTTCTCTTCTCCAAGCTGAACAATCCAAGTGACCACAGCTGCTCCTTATGAGTCTTGCCCTTGAAACCTTTCACTATCTTGGTCACCTCCTCTGGAGACACTCTAATAGTTTGATGTCCTTTCTATATTTATGCACCAAAACTGTACACAGTACTTGAGATGGGACTGCACCAGGGCAGCATAGGGTAGGAAAACCACCTTCCTTGACTGGCCAGCTATGCTGTGCTTGATGCACCCCAGGACATGATCTGCACTTTTGGCTGCCAGGGAACATTGTTAACTCACATTCAACCTGCCATCCATCCAAAACCCCAGTTCTCTTTCCATGGGCTTGCTTTCCAGTCTCTCATTTCCCAGTTTGTATGTATAACCAGGATTACCCTGTCTCATGCGGAGAATCTGTCCGTTGCTCTCGTTAAATTTCATAATGGTTGGTGATTGTAATACAGTATGTGAATTGGCTTTGAAATAGAATTTGGAGATAGCTCTAATTAGTTTGCTAATGAAGTACTTTATTGTAATGTTTTAGTTCTTTTGCCTTTGATTTCCTATCCCATGGATTATAATTTATTACTTAGATGCAACTTCATAAAGTGCTCATACTTGATAATGTAAGCCTGTGGATATTATGGACCTCATTTTTAAAGGGGTAAGCTTATGATCACATTCTAATTTTACATGGAAGCTGTTCGAAACATCAGCCCTACTGCCTGTCTTTTATAGTTCTTTATCAGCAGAAGATGGAGCTTATGGTGAAAAAAAATACATTGCCTACTTCTTTTCCTTTTCCTCCCCCCTACTTTACTCGGTCTTTTGGGGAATTCTCTAGTTTGTCATATATAGAATACTAGCTAGAGAAATATCTGGAAAATATAATCATTTCTAGTAAACAAGGACTTGTTAGTTTCCTTTGAATATGTTTTTTTGTCCATACTAAGGAGACTCAAAAAGCATTTCTGCTTTCCTCTGAAAATCTGAATGAGACTCTTTGACTTTATAGTTTCTGATTCTCTTTATTTGCTCAGAAATAAGGTGGGAACGACAGGTTTACAATTTGATTTAGATAGCTAATCTGATTTTGATGATTCACAGGGTCTGAATTATGTTTCTCTGATGCTGTAACACCTCATTCTCTTTGCTTCAGGTTCAGTAGCTTTCCATTATTTGCCAGAAATTGATTTAAAATTAAAGTAACCAATATCTCAAACATACACCTCTCCAGGTCTTTCTGAAGCCTTGTTGGAACAGATATTCTGTTTCTTCAATGAAGAAGTGCCTTGCACCCTTGTCAGTTGCTACTTTTATCAAGTAATCTATTTTAGTTACAACAGAACTGAAAATTGTCAGTTGCTACTTTTATCAAGTAATCTATTTTAGTTACAACAGAACTGAAAATTGTGTAGCTGTAAAAATGTTGACATTATGTGTTAGAATTCCACTTTTTTAAATCTCAGTTGAAAGAGCTGGAACCTTTCATTTTCATGTTTTTTTAACCTGCCTTATTCTCTTTAATCTTTTCATAAGTACTAGTAAATAATAACTTTTTAATAGTAAGTACTTGTCAATAATAATCTTCTGATAAAAACCTGTTAGTACCTGACAAATAAATGCTTTATGCTATAAAAATAAATGCATTTTACCAATTTTTCTTTTGAAATATGAGAAACATTTCATACATTCTTGATAAAACCTCTGACTATCTGTCTCTGAATAGTAAATAAAATCAGTTGTTAGATAATTACTTTATATGACTTAGTAACATGGCTTTTTATGATGTCTTTAATTACTCCTACATGTGGATTAGATGAATGAATTCAGAAAGCTTGGTTATCCTAAATTAAGTTTACAGTATTGGCCATAAAAAGATAATATTTCCCTTAAGACTATTAGTTGTGACTTCAAGGAACAGATTTTTGCAAACTTAAAAATACTTCTGCTTGTTAGGCTAGTGGCTTCTAGTACTGGACACATACTTCAGAACTAGTTCAGTTTGATGAATATTCATTATCGTTCTTCTAAAGTATAAACAGACCATAACTAGAAACATGCTGATTTTTCATCTTTTGGGGAATAAAATGTGAACTTTTATACTGTCAGACCAAAATCTGTCTGAATGTTACTTAAAAAAAAAATATTGTTTGTTTGGGTTTTTAATACTTTTGTGCCATAAATAGCAGGAAAATAAATTAGATTTGATTTCCAGTGATTATATTAAAACATTACCTATGCTTTAGTTTTGTAAAGGTACAATTAGTGAAAACTTGACTGTCTTGTTTGGTTTTTTTTTCTTTTTAAATTCAAGTACTCAGTTTTATGAAACATGGAAAACATATCTTGAACTGATTTCTAAGATGTCCTCCTTCCTCTGAGGAGAGGCCATTAGCCTCATCTGGTGAAGAACGGGATTTTTGAATCAAAGTATTCTGATTATTATATATGATTATATATAATTATATCATATAATAATATAATATATATTGTATGTATCATATTATTATATTTAGACTCATATTACTTTTTTCTCTCCCCCCCCTCTGTTTTGCTTCTTCCTCCTCCCACCCCAACCCTTCCCAGCTGGAAAGACTGCAGTTTGAGAATACCTCTGGATGGGGGAAGAGAGAGAGACTTGAAGCAGTAAAGCAAAGTTTGGAAGAAGAGAACAGAAGTTTGAAAATGCAGGTAAAAGAAATTCAAGGGCTTCCTTAGATGAAAAATAAAGCAACACTAAGTAAATTGTGATCATCAAAATGCACTAAGTAAGCGGCTGATCAAAAATAAGGTATGTGCATTGCTTCATTTGGTTACTCGGGGAGCAGTCCCCTAAATAATTACTATTTCATAATGTCAGAATGTGTTCCTGAAAGAATGATTGTGCAAGGTAGAACAGCCTTGTTAGCATCTCAGACCTGGACAATTAGAACTCAATGACTTTGAATTTCTGTAGGGTAGAGAAATAGCAAGAAGCATCTTTTCATATTTAAAAGGAGCAGGAGGATATGACAAGTCTGACAAAACTTGGGAGCAAAAGTGGAGACTGGTAGGAAGAGAAGAAACTGAGGAAGTTTCATAGCTGCAGAGTCCTGATGAAGGTCAAAGCAAAAAAAGCTGTGAGAATTTTTTTGTTGTGCTGAATATTGAATCTCTTCTTAGGGAAGAGAGAGCTGAAGGAAGGGTCTTATTTCTTATTTTTGATTTCTCTAAAGATCTGATCACTTTTAAATCTTATTGTACTGCTAAAAATGCTGTGATAAATTATTCAGAGACTTTTAGCTGTGAGTATTTCTTTTATTTTGTGGTTTTCTATGCCAGTAATTAACTAGCAATTCAGAAGGCTCCTAATTTCAAGGTGACTCTGAAAGCTGGGTGAAAGAAAGCGAAAAAAACATCTCCTAACCATATGCATACTTGATATTACAAGCAAGGGCAGTGAGAAACAGTAACAGTCTTTTGCCAAAAAAACAAATAACGTAATGTCATCTATGTGCATTTACTGTTGAATAATGGCAGTCGGAGGAACTAGGACCAGATTAAAGTTATAATTGAAAAAAGTAATTTCTCTTGGGAAAGATTAGCAGGGAAAGGTTCTGTACTTGAGGTCTGCTTTTAAATGTAAAATATGTTTTTCCTATATTTCTTTTGTGACTCAGGAAAAGCAAATTGCAATTCATGCATATGGCTTACCTTTATAAAATATCTTACATAACAATCACCTGTTTTGGATTTTCCTTTACTAGTATTTATTTTATCCTATTGAATCATATCATACCATAACATTTCATATCATATCCTATACTAATTTTCATGTTTTCTTTGTAGTATATGTAATTTGAGGTTGGAAATGTAGCCAGAAAGATGCTCATTTGCTAAGGCATGCAAAGACCTGGCCTCTGGTTGCTGGCAGAGTAAACACTACCACATTAAGTAGTCTTCTATGACACCAAACATCCATTGGAAACATGAGTAAAATAAAAGATCAACAGTGTTAGAGGAAAGAAGGACTATGGTGAACCCTTAATGCCACAGTGAACTCTTCACAGCAGCAAAATGTTAGTTAAAACAGATGCAGCCTTATGAGAAAAATTACTTTGGCAGTGAGTTCATCCAAATCAGTCATGGCATTGGAGACCTGGGCAGCCATATGTGGAGAAGACAGTTGTTTGTAGAGATAGTTAGCATATATTTTAACCTTGTTGCTGCCATTAAATGAAAAATAAGACTTAGGGAAGGACAGAGTGGCTTTTTGAAAGACTGCAGCCTAACTCATTTTATATCTTAGACGGAACCTGCCTATTCCTGCGTAGAGACATCCTAGTGTCACTGTTGAACATTTCTAAATTCTGAGAGTCTCTCAAGCAACCTGATCTAGTTGAAGATGTCACTGCACAGTGCAGGGGTGTTAGACTAGATGGACTTTGAAGGTCCCTTGTAACTCAAACTATTCTATGATTCAATGATCTAATTTGCTGTAATACTGTCAATATTCTGAAAAGAATGGCTTTGACTTCTGATTTAGGAGCCTTTTTTCTTGGGAAGGTAGCTCGAGTTCAAATAAAATAACACATTAGAGGCACTGTTAGAAGAGTACAAAAGGATGATTTCTATAAAATATGGGTGATGGTTATATGTTTAGGTTAGCTAAGGAGGTAATATGCAAGACTGAAACTGTAGCTCTCTAAAGATCTTTGCGCATCTTACTCTGAATGATCAAGGCTTTATTCAGCAGATAGACACAAGTGATATGGGTAAGGTGTTATGGAATGAATTCCAGAGGAAACCACAGTTGTGTAACACCCTAGCTTCTCCAAAACCTGTATTTATGAGATGATTTGGATGATCCATTGTAGTTTACAGCACTACAGTGTTATTAATTGTTGTATAGCTGATTCACATTTTTAAAGAGTATAAATAGGGGCAACATTTTTTTCCTTAATTACGGTTTTAGTTAAACATGGTATCAAAATACAGAAGTGAAGTTCTTATGTCCTTGTCTAAACGATTTCATGTTGACACTTGATTTTCTTGCTCTTTAGTATGTATACTTCCACAGAATGTAGAATTTGTGCAATCTCTTACCACTAACAGTAGCAAATCATGCAGATTGAAATTCTAAACACACAAAAGTTAATATTAATTATGTTTTGTACAAAATGTGAGCCCTTGATATTATTCTTAGCTGGCAATATGTTGGTTTAAAGTGTTTCCATATACAGTTTTTGAAAGGCTAACTTCTATTGTACAAAAAGATGAGCAGAACTGATGAAACAATTGAGATCAGACGTTACTATGTGGTCTTATTGACTGTACTTCTTGAAGTGGAAAATACTGTTTAAATTATTAGCTGTATTATTTGACAAATAGCATGGCGACAAATGTTAAATGGATCTAACTGGTTCGTCTAGGATGGGATAAAATTAAGAAAACCCCCGAACTTGCTGATAGTATAGATCTATACCCAAAACTTGCTGTTTATGGGAAAGATTTTTGCTATTTCATCAGTGAATATGACCTTGAAATAAACTTATTGATTTTGAGGAATAATAACAGCTTTTTTGTATTATCTCTAATTATTATGGGGAATATTTGGTTATTAAATGTGTGATTCACTGAATGTGTTTTGCAGTGGACTTGTACAGAATCTAAGTACAGAATGCTGAACTCTGGAGCTTGCTTATCATATCATAGACTAAATTTTTAAAAAAAGTTTCATTTCTGTCTTCAGTATTATAAAGTTAGGGAAAAAAAATCCATTGTTTTTAAAGATGGAATGATGGACAACACATTTTTAAAATGAAACCATTTTAGATTAACATTACCTAGCAAGATTTTGTTTAATTGTCAGTATTTGAGTTTTCAAAAGCAGGAAACACTGAATTTTTTTGTGCAAATAATAGAAAATTGTCTTGGGTTCACATGGCAAGGTTTTGATAGGACTGGGACCACCGGAGTGGCTTCTGTGGGAAAAGATCAAGAGCTGCCAGAAACAGTCAGCTCCAACTGGCTCCAAAAGGAACCTGCTGCTGGCCAAAGATGAGCCCGTAAGTGCTGCTGTTGGCTCATCTGTGAAGCCACATTTCAGATACAGAAAAAAACACTGAGCAGCAGTGTGTGATAGTGATGAGTAAGGAAAAAATGTGAGATGAACAGGTCTGCAGACATCAAGGCCAGAGAAGTAGAAGGGGTGGAGGTGCTCCAGGTGCCCACCACAGTCCTCCATGGGCTGCAGGGGACAACTTTCTTCACCATGGTCTTCTCTACAGGCTGCAGGGAAATCTTTACAGCAGTTACAGCCTGTGAGGGACCCACACTGGAGCAGTCTGCTCCTGAAAGACTTGCCCTGTGGAAAGGACCTGTTCAGGAAAAGTTCTTGAAGAAGTGTGGTCTGTGTGAAGGACTAATGCTGGAGCAGTTCATGTAGAACTGTATAACATGGAATGGACCTCCTCCTGGAGCAGAGGAACAGCATGAGTAGAAAGGTGTCGTGGTTTAACCCACAGCCAGACAGCTTGTTACCCACTCCCCCACCCCTTCTTGCCCTCCCCCTACTCCTGGGGGACGGAGAGGAGAATCAAAAAGAAATGCAACTCCCACGGGTTGAGATAAGAACAGTTTAGTAACTAAGGTACAATACGAATCACCACTGCTACCACCAACGACAACAATGATAAGAGAAAACAGCAAAGGAAAGGAGTACAATACCACGCGCCGAACCGCCAGTCCGACCCGGCCGACCCCCTCTCCTTCCGGGTTCCCCCCCAGTTCCCCCCTCGGCATGACGTGCTGTGGTATGGAATACCTCTTTGGTCAGTTTGGGTCAGGTGTCCTGTCTCTGCTTCCTCCCGGCCTCCCCTCCTCCCTGGCAGAGCATGAGACTCACAAAGTCCTTGGCCAAACCAAAACACCATTTTTATCAGCTTTGTTCCGAGCCCGAAAGTCAAAACACAGCACTGCACCAGCTACCAAGAAGGAGAAAAAATGACTGCTGCTGCTAAACCCAGGACAAAAGGAGAAGCAGAGACTGACCCATAACCTGCCGTTCCCCATCTGTGCATAGTTGGAGAACTTAGAGGAGTCAGGAGTGAAGGAGTGAAGCTGGGCTTGGGAAGAAGGGTGAGAGGGAACAGAGATTTTTTTTTTTGTTTTATCTTTGTTTCTCACCATCTTACTCTATTTTTAATTGACAGTATATTTAGTTTTCGCCAAGTCAAGTCTATGGCTGATGTGAGAGAAGTGTAACTAGTAAAGGCTAATAGTAATTGCTGTGTTTCATTCCTGGGTTTGTGTCACAAAGTTCTCTTGGATTGAGCTTTTTAATATAGTTTTCACTTTTCATCAGTACAAAACTCAAGAGAATCCATAATTACAATATTATTGTTAAACACTATGATACTTCATCTAGCACTGTTCAACCAATGGAGAATTATCTTAGTTTAGATGAGAACCTCTGGGGCTGGTTATCGTGATGGTAATGTGGCACCCGTTGCACAGTTCCCTCAGCAGATTTTTAGAAGACCCTATGTTTTCTCATAACTACCTTTTGGGACACAGTTATTTTTATATGATTTTTTTTTCCTTAGTACTTTTCTGGTGAAATGCTCATTTTAATTCCTTAGAAAACCCACTAAAGTATAAAACTAAAAGAAAATAAAAAGTGAATTTTACAGATATGTTCATTTCTTCTAAGAAATTATGCCCATCTTTAATAATAGCAAGGAAAAAAATACTGAATGAACTTCTTTACTGTGAGAGTAAAGAACTTCTTTACTGACAGAGCACTGGAACAGGTTGCCCAGGGGGGTTGTGGAGTCTCCCACATTGGAGATATTCAAGGCCCGCCTGGACAAGTTCCTGTGTGATGTACTCTAGGTTACCCTGCTCTTGCAGGGGGGTTGGACCAGATGATCTCTTGAGGTTCCTTCCAACCCTTGGGATTCTCTGATTCTGTGATTGCAAACTCTCATAGATCAACGCTCAGCACTCCATACTTTTCCCACCAAATTTTTTCCAGTTTCAAAAATTTGTAATTGCTGACAAGAAAAAGCTGAAGGTTAAAGACTGGACTTTTAAAACAGAAAAATCTCTCATTTTCATGTGATTAGTGGCATAATTTTGAGAGCGTTAGTATGCTTTAATTTTTCCATTTAAATTTAGTATTTTATCTCCTATTTTCTAACTTCTTGAATGGGCCTATAAATTGTATATTTGTACAATTTTTATACAATTGTACAATTTTTGAAGACCATAAAAATTTTGAATTACACATTTTATAGGAATACTAAACCTCAGGAAAAAAAATGTAGGTTTTGTTGATTCATGTTAATCAGTTATTAATTAGGACAAGATTTCATTCCCTCA